TAGAGAAATAAAGTAAGAGGTATATAAATAGATTATATTAAGAAAGAAGAGTAAGAAAGGTATAGTAAATAAGAATTTTTAAAGTAAAGTAGGGTAGAGCTAGTTTAGTATCTTTTATAAGTAAAGAGCTCTAAACAAGTTAAGTAGTTAAGTTAAAGGGTAGGCGGTAGGCCCTCCACAATATGACACGACGAACTGGGCCCGATACACGCTTTTACTAACCCAAGATCGCTTAGCGTTAGGGTTAAGGGTTAGGGTATCAGGCCCGATTCGTGGGGCCCGGTTCGTCAGGAACAACAACACAACAAACATTGAAACTATGGCGCAACTATTGCACACACTTGCACATCTCTCTACGCAGCTTTAGTAGGCTACAGACTATTATTGTAGTTGTGTTAGGGTATCAGGGTTAGGGTTCGCGATGGATCAGGCCCAGCAAAACCACACAACAGCTCTGCAACAGCGCAGTAACAACAAACAACAACAACGCAGCCAACACAGTCACAAAACTAGTGCGCAGGTATTGCTTGACAATTGCGACAATATTCTCTGCTTCTTGGAAGAATATGGCGTGTTAGTATGCAAGGATCACCAAACAGGCGTTGTTAATCTCAACACCCATCTCTTGCAGCATCACAACGTGCCTGCTGCAACTCGAAGGGAGATTGTTAAGCGCTTCAGTCACTACGCGTTAACTAAACCTAACGATATTGAGCTTCCAGACGAGCCAGCGATGCCGATTAAAGAGCTTGGGGCACCAGTAGACGCGCTGCAGTGCAGGACATGTGCATTTATTACCATCAGCAAGGACAAACTCCGCCAGCACTGCAAAAAAGATCACCAGCAAGCTTGGACAGGAGAGAAAAGCTTGCTGTACAAGACTGTCCAAGTTCAGAGTTTTTTCCACACAGCAGGGATGCAGAAATATTTTATAGTTGAAATAGATACTAACGTTAGTAATGTTAGGAATCCTAAGAACGCTAACGTTGAAGTTGCTGTTCAGGAAGAGCTGGCTGCGTACAGCTTAACACAACAACAAATTCAAGAAGAGCTGCAGATACTAGAAGCAGCAGCAAAGACCGACAAGACAGGCTGGTTTAAGCGCACAGGATGGTTAGAGTTCTTTAAGGGCCGAAATCTCAAGCATCTGGTCCACCAAGCCCGCGCGCCCGATCACTGTGAAGACAAGATGAAGCTTGCCGCTGAGCTGACAGAGCGACTGGTTGAGAGAAGCGTTAGGGGACTGGCTACGCTTCCGCACGAGCTAAGGCGCTGGTTACGCAGTGCAAAACTGAGCGAGGCTGACACCCGGCCGCTGGCGCGACTGCAGAACCCGGAGAGTCAGGCTTGGTACGCAGGCTACATGGTGAAGTTTGTCTGCTTCTATCTGCGGGTGCTGGCCGACGAAGAGCAGCGGATTATCCGCGTAAGAGAAGGACGATTCGACTGTGACAGTGAAGAGACAGCAAGCAGCGAGGAGGACAGCGAAGATGGCGAAGATGGCGAAGAAAGCAAAGACGAGAGCGACGCCCCGCGGCCCGCCCGCAGGTCACGCAGACTGACGCCAACACGCGCAAAGGTATCGCGAGACAAAATGAAGGACGCTCGCGAGTTGTTCACGTGGACAGTTGAACAGAAGTCGTGTGCAATCGGGCTGTGGGATGCGCTCGACGGC